GCTGAATTGTCTAGTCTCCTACATGAGAGAAACAAGGCCTGGGCAAATGCTAGGAAATCAGGCTTGGAGGTAGAATGGCTTCGTTTTAGGCAGCTAAGAAATAGCTTCACATCACAAATCAAAAGTGCTAAGTCTAAGTATTATCTGTCAGTTACCACAGAAAACCTGAATAATCCTAAACATTTTTGGAAAGCCATAAAATCGTTATCCACCGGTGAAATCCGTAATGAGCTACCTCCTTGCCTTACCACAGCATCTGGCACTATATCGGACAGGGCCACTATGTTACATTGTTTTAATGAGCATGTTGTGTCCTGTGGCTCTCGGTTTGATTCTGTTTCTAACTCTGTTACTGTGAACACCACAGTCTGTGACTCTGGAAAACGTTGTTTGGAAAACCCTTTCAGTTTTTCTCCTTTTTCGATTGAAGTCGTTCATGAAGCCTTAACCAAGTTAGATCCTTAAAAAAACGGCTGGTCCGGACAACTTAGAACCTTTCTTTTTAAAGATAGCTGCAGATTTTATTGCACCACCTCTTACTTCTCTTTTTAACCTCTCCCTCAGCACAAACACAATTCCAAAAATATGGAAGTCAGCTTATGTCCTTCCTCTACTAAAAGGTGGGGAGGCTACTTTATTAAATAATTATAGGCCCATCTCTAAATTGTCAGTTCTGGCCAAGGTTCTTGAAAGCCTAGTGAGTGAGCAGGTAAAGGTGTTTTTAAGTAACAATGACCTACTATGTAAACATCAGTCAGGTTTCAGAAAGCAACATAGCACCATCACTGCGACAATGAAAGTGGTGAATGATATTGCTAATATCTTAGACAAAAAGCAGAGTTGTGCAGCTCTGTCTATTGATCTTTCCAAAGCTTTCGATACCGTCGATCATCATATCTTGAAGCAGAGGCTGGCCAGTATTGGTATATCCATCCATGCAGTGGGGTGGTTTGTGAACTACCTCTCTGAAAGGTCCCAATGTGTTCAATTTGATGGGCTGTCTTCTGAGTGGTTAAACATTTATGTTTTAGTTCCACTTTTATTCTATATCTATATCAACAGTTTAGGTCAAAATGTGGATGAAGCAACTTTAAATTGTTATGCTGATGATACCGTGATGTATTGTGCAGGTCCCTCCATTAAGGAGGCTGGTGTTAAATTACAGGCTGTTTTTAATATTATTCAGACGCAGGTCTCTGAGCTTAAGCTTCTTTTAAATGTGGATAAAACTAAGGTAATGCTATTTTCAAAAGCCAAAAAGACACCGGAGACCACTTTGGATATTGTTACTACGCAAGGAAAAGTACTTGAAGTGGTTGCCTGTTATAAATACCTTGGTATCTGGCTTGATGATTGTCTCTCTTTTAAATTTCAGGTCAATAATCTGCTTAGAAAGCTGAGGGTGAAGCTAGGTTTCTTTTTCAGAAACAAGTCCTGTTTCTCGCTTGAGTCCAGGAAAAGGCTAGTTACTGTGACCTTTTTACCTGTGCTGGACTATGGTGATTTGATATATATGAATGCACCTTCCCATTACCTGATCAAGTAAGATGCCGCCTATCACAGTGCGCTGAGATTTGTTACAAACTGACCTGCCCCATTTAAAACCTATGTTGCTGGGATGTTGCTATAGACCACCAAGCTCTGATAGTAATTATCTAGATAAATTGTGTGAAATGATTGAGAAGGCATGTGATGAAAACAGGGAGATATATTTATTGGGTGACGTGAATGTTGACTTTCTGTCATCAGACTGTTCATTGAAAAACAAATTGATGACGGTAACAAGTGCATGTAACCTAGATCAGATGATCAATCAACCAACCAGGCTAATTACCAATAGCTCTGGAGCAACATCATCCAAATGCATCGATCACATATACACAAACGCAAGTGAACTGTGCTCAAAAGTGGTATCAGTACCAATTGGCTTCAGCGATCATAACCTTGTAGCAATATGTAGGAAAGCCAAAGTCCCAAAAGCAGGACCGAAAATAGTGCTGAAGAGATCATATAAAGGGTTTTGCTGTGATTCATATGTGGAGGATGTTAAGGGAGTATGTTGGTCTAATGTTTTTAAAGAGAGTGACACAAATGTGGCACTGGATGTTTTCATGAAATTGTTGTTACCAGTGATGGATAAACATGCACCTGTTAAGAAGTTAACCGTTAAAACAGTGAAGGCACCATGGATTGACGAGGAGCTAAAGAAATGTATGGCTGATAGAGACAGAACAAAAAGGGCAGCAATGAATTCCGAAGAACAGAAAGAAGAAGAAAATGTATTATGAGATTAATATAAATGATATAAAGCATGATGGAAAAAAGCTCTGGGGTACCTTGAATACCATCATGGGTAGGAAAAACAACTCAACACCATCCTTTATAGAATCAGAGGGAGCATACATCACTAGACCATTAGATATTGCCAATTATTTTAATAACTATTTCATTGATAAAGTGGAGAAGCTAAGGCAGGGAATACCAAAATCTAGCTGCGAGTCGTCCTATGTTAATATTAGAGAACGTATTATGAAAAATAAAAATTGCACCTTTGAGCTGGGTAAAGTTAGGACAGAAGAGGTGGAAAAGTTATTGTTGGCAATCAATAATGATAAACCACCAGGTATTGATAACTTAGATGGTCAGCTATTAAAGAATGTAGCCAAGTTCATTGCTGCACCCATCTGTCATATTTTTAACATGAGTCTGGAAGGTACATGCCCGCAAATCTGGAAAGTAGCTAAAGTTATTCCACTCCCTAAAAATGCAAAGAATGCCTTCACTGGCTCTAACAGCAGACCAATAAGCCTGTCACCTGTTCTAAACAAACTACTAGAAGAAATTGTATTCAATCAAATCCAATGCTATTTTTCTGTTAACAGTCTGATGAGTGAGTATCAACATGCGTATAGAGAGGGTCACTCAACAGCCACAGCATTAACACAAATGACAGATCAATGGATGAAAGAGATTGATGTGAAGAAAATGGTGGGAGCAGTACTATTAGATTATAGCGCTGCCTTTGATTTGATAGACCATAGAATTTTACTTGACAAATTGGAGTGCTATGGTTTTGTCCCAAAGGCGATATCATGGCTAGAAAGCTATCTATATAACAGAACTCAAAGTGTATACTTTAATGGCAGTATCTCTAGTGCTAGATGTGTTGCAAGTGGAATTCCACAAGGAAGTTCACTAGGTCCTTTACTCTTCTCAATCTTTACAAATGATTTTCCATTAGCTCTTGAAAAAGCACAAGTCTCTATGTACTCGGATGACACGACAATATATACACAGGCTCCCACAATCGGTGAGATAACTGATATTCTGAACAAAGAACTGAAAACAGTAATGGAATGGGTGACCAGCAACAAATTAGTGCTCAACATTCAAAAATCAAAAAGTATTGTATTTGGCACAAATTACGTTCTAAGGTCTAAACCGCAGTTGAATCTGATGCTGAATAATGTAGAGGTTGAGCAGGTGGAGGAAACAAAGCTCCTGGGACTCATCCTAGTGAACAATTTATCATGGACGAAACACATAGTCAGTGGTGGCAAAGATGGGGAGGAATATATCTGTCATCAAGAGGTGCTCAGTGTTTTTACCACCGCAACTGACAAAACAAGTCATTGAGACTCTAGTCCTTTCGCAACTGGACTACTGCTCAATGATCTGGTCCGGGGCAAACAAGAGGGACCTGGGAAAGCTGCAACTGGTTCAAAACAGAGCAGCTCGGCTTGCCCTTAGGTGTACACCAAGACATAATGTAAACAAAATGCATGTCAAGCTCTCCTGGACATTAGTCACGGAGAGGCTGATGGTATCACTCCTTGTCTTTTTGAGAAACATAAATGAGCTGAAACATCCAACCTGTCTATATAAGCAACACCTAGCTCTAAAATCCATACATATAAAACGAGACATGCCACAAGAGGTTGCTATCAAATCCCTAAAGCCAAAACAGAGTCTATGAAGAGCACAGTGCTGTATAGAGCCATGGCTGCATGGAACACACTGCCAGATCAGATTTCTAAAGAAACAACTAAAGCAAGCTTCAAAAGACGATTGAAGAGGCATCTAGAAGCCCAAAGACTGTAAATTACACAAGCGGCAGACAGGTTATGGTAAACATACAGCAGCACACCGATTCATATAGGTTTTTTAAACACATGCAGGAATATGGTACTTTCGCTAACATAGACACACACACAGCCTTTCACAGTTATGATGAGGATTGTATTTGTTTAGTTTGTTTTACTCTAAAAGAAGCGAAGGGAGACATTTGGAAAATCACTATTATTATTATTCTTTTTTTGAATTTTTCTTTCCAAGGAAATGGGGAATCAGAAAATAAGCTGTATGTGATGGTTGATATGAAAGTCACTGTTTGAAGGAAAATTGACGCCGTACACGATTTGTATCATTGTCTTGTGACAAATGTTATTTGTGGACCCCAGGAAGATTAGCTGTTGTTATGCACCAGCTAATGGGGATCCTAATAAAATAAACAAATAAACAAATAAACAAATAAACTTACTGTTTGGAGACTCAGTCATTGGTACATGTTCATATACAAAGCCATGCTGGCTAAACTACCACCTTACATCTGCTCACTGATATCACAGAGAGTCACAAGTATTGCCTAAGATCCCAGGACGTGTTTTTATTACATGTACCAAGTGCTAGGACTGTTTTAGGCACTACAGCTTTTATGTGCGCAGCTCCTCTAGCTTGGAACACTCTGCAAAACATTTTGAAAATGAGAATTTTGGTTCCCCTGCATCATTTTAAAGCACAGCTTGATGAAATTATATTTGATACTCCTGGTACCTGTCTTTGTGAATAAGTTTGTAAATTGTACCCCTGCCATTATGTTGTATGTGTCCTTTTTGTTTTCTGTTACATGTGTAACAATGTGCGGCAGGTCTCCCTTGTAAAAGAGATCGTTGATCTCAATGGGATTTTTTACCTGGATAAATAAAGGAAACAAACAAACATTTTGAGCATTTAGACATTTTATTTTGTACTCGACATGATTAAACATTGCTGAAATGGTTGGGGAAATGCCTTGTTGTCATGTTTAATATTTAACTTGTGTTACTTTATATATAAGCGGGTATTAACATCAACCCCTCAAAGAAATCTAAAGGCAGTGTTTACTGGTGAGAAATTCTGTTTCAAGCACAACTTTCCCATTCATGTTTCTTTTTGCTTCAGTAGAAACATTACATAAATACAAATAAAAAATACATTAACAAAACATTTGAAAAACACGTCATGTATGAGCAGTGGGAAGGTTCTTCAGTTAGATTCAAAGAGTTCCTGTACAATACAATTGTTAACTAACTAACATTAAGATGTGTAACAAATCTCTATCATAATGTTAAATATTAAATCTACATATAAATTAAACAACCAATGTACATACATTCTCAGTAGAAAAACAATGTTGTTTTAAGAAAAACATTTTCTGTGGCATTTTGACATTTTCATTTTAGGCATTTAACAGAAACATAACAATCACTTTGAGCAAGTTGTTTATCTGCTTGTTGTACCATAGTCTCTTTTTTAAACAATGATAGGTAGCTATTAAAAACCTATTTAAATGGGTGCTTAAACTATAATAAAATCTTTTAGATTGATAGAACATACGATAAATTAATGTCACATTTTACTATGGCCTCTTCTTTGTGGTTAGAGCTTTTATTACACAGTGTAATTACCTTTATATATACAGTCTATGGTAATTACTAAACGTATAGTTCTCTATATATATCACAGACAAAAGTAATTTCACTATATATTTTTGTCATTTTGACGGCCCATATTTTACAACATTTTTTACAACTTGCAACGACCCATTGAATTCAAATTTTCAAACACATAAATATGCACAAATATGTCTTTCCAAAAGTATGTAAAAATGTGTTCATGAAGTGCTTTGGTTCCCTTGAGAATGTTTATTTTTGGTTTTTATTGCTGTTGTTGGGCAGAATATCGATCCACCTTAGCGTGTCAGTTCAAAGGGAGCCTGTAAAGTCTGCTGGTCGGATCATCATGGCAGTGGACTTCAGTGAGTAGCCCGAGCCTTTCCAGTAGTACCATTTGATTCCATTGAAGCGGTTTGAGTTCTGGCCCTGCTGGTAATACATCCCATTCAAATTGGACGGACCACAGGCATCAAACCACCAACCTAGAACATTCAAACACATCTCAACGTTATTTCCTCAAAGACGATGTTGCATGCATCTCTGTAAAATAGGAAGGGAATTTTCTGTCTTTCTAAGGTCTGATATGGAAATCTGTTTTAAGAAAAGGCAATTTGAGTGGGCCATAAGCTGTTGGTTTATTATACTGTCTCATAACCACTGAAAAAAGAGATAGAACGCATTGAAATATTCTAATACGTAGCTACCCATCTTTAAGTAATGTTGTGGTGGCTGTAGGTGCATTTATACACTTCAAAATGTGTTTTTGAATTTAGAAAGCAGTGAATGAGAGTTTAACAGCACACAGCAATTCAGAGCAATTTAGATTTGTCTATATATATATTCATATACAGATTGCAGGGTTTGTAAACTGTGCCATTTTGAGACTGCCTGCACTCCTGTTAATCCTGAATATTGGCTGTTAAACTGTAACATCTACGCCAAATAGAGAACAAATAAGCATCAAATTACATTTGTCAAGCTATAATAGCGGTTGCGTGGCTTTTCTATAGCGTATTACATGTTATGGCATCACACAAGCTGTAGAAGCTACTTGTAAACTGTGGCATTACACACAGTACACTGGCAGTATTTGTCATGGTGTCAAGGCAGACATTTCACATTCGGCTGCATCTAATTGGCTATGACAGTAAAATTGCTACTGCTCTTATGTAGAGATGCTGTCAGAGATTTTCATTTATTGTGGACAGATACCCCTTAGCGGTTTATCTCCCAGGAGATGATATGTTGAAGAATCAGGATTTTAAAAAAATAAAAATGTAAGCAGTTATAGCTAACCTGTCATAGTAGTTAATGGGAGTAGCTCGTGTAACATTGTTCAAGAAAACTGAAAACTACATTTTTTAGTCAAAACTAAGGCGTGCAATATGGTTTTACATAATTTGGTTTTAAACAGATGTACCACATTCATTTAATTGTCTGCTAATTCAAAACAGGCAGATTTATATTTGTAATGGCAGATTTAGCTTTTGTTTCTTACTGGGTCAGTGCCACTCTGTCACGATTGAGCATAATTTGCATATGGAGTCCTCCGTGAGAGACCCCTCATGGGAAAAAAGGGAAAGGGTTTTCATGCTTCCATGCTCACTTGGCAGACCCTTATACAGAGGGACACTAACTTCTGGCAGCGAAGTCACTTTCAAGGGAATGGAGTAGGACCTTTAAGCTACGAGGAGAGAGGGAAAAGCTCTTTTCCCAGGCTATTAATGTCAGCCATTGTAGGGGCTGAATTCCCCAATGAGTTGATCAGTGATTAACTCTGAGCTAATTGTGCTCTTTGACCTGGCCACAAAAGTACGGAGCCCTTAAAATGCCCTTGAAGATTTTTGGGGGAGAAGTGGCAATATTTGGGTGGGTTGGAGTTTGTTTGAAAACAAGTGCCCTCACAAAATCGACGTGACAATGATATTTCCTGGTGAACAAGAATTAATAAGCAGAAGTTGTTTACAAAGAAAATGTGTTTCTTACCCCCTGTTGTCAGTTGTGAACATTTGCAAACACATTTGTCGTTGTCCGCATCCTTTGTACTGAAATCACTTCCTGGCTGCCCGATGCTGCTTATTTTGCCTGCCGTTCCACTGAAGCCTTTAAGGTGTATCCTGTAGAATGGGAAAGGAAAAATGAAGGAAGAGGAGGAGGAAATCCGTGATTGCCATTCCTCAAAAGGCAACGTCCAACTGTTCCTCGGCCATAGCTTGTACCAGATCTCAAATGGGGTTTGGCATTAGGATTTAAGTGTTTGCTATTGGCATTAAAGTTTCATCTTACTTTATTTGTGTTAACATTTCTGCTTTTTATTACAACCAGCTTGTTGATTTCATAATTTTAGCTATTTTTAATCTTTTAACCAACGTTTCTGCGTTATGCTATTTGTGCAGCATCGTCCTTGTAGAAATGATTTGGAGTTACTGAGCCAACTAACTGGAGACCAAATTGGTCATAGTCAAGTGGAGTTTAGACAAGAAAGAGCTGTGTTGAATCGGAGCATTTCAAGGTCTGTTTGTCAAATTGAAAGGAAGTATCCATTCCACTCCTGAAATCAGCTTTGGTTTGGAAAAGAAAATACTTGAGAGGGTTCTGTTATTGCCAAGATGTGCAGACTAAATTACATTGCATTTAGCTGACGCTTGTATCCAAAGCGACTTACAATAAGTGCATTCGACCAGGAAGACACAACCTTGAAGAAAACAGAATCATATAAGTACATCAGGTTTCATAGAGCCAAACATTTCAAGTGCTACTCAACTGGCTATAGATAAGCCAGTCCTTTATTAGTATATAAGTGCTTTGTTAATAATTCTATCGCTCGAGGTAGAGTCGAAAGAGATGAGTTTTCAGTCTGCGCTGGAAGGTGTATAAGCTTTCTGCTGTCCTGATTTCAATGGGGAGCTCATTCCACCATTTTGGAGCCAGGATAGCAAACCCTCGTGTTTTTGCTGATGGGAACTGCAGCGAGGGTGCAGCGAGTCGTTTGGCTGATGCAGAGCGTAGTGCACGCACTGGGGTGAAACAAGACATTTTATGTATTTCCTATTTTTCACCGAGCAGTTTTATTGCATTTTCTTTGGGCTGGTGCCAGTGCATTAGTATCAGGGAAGAAGATGGTCACACAGAAAAGAAACATCGTCCAGAGGAGTTTCTTGAATGTGTTTTGCTTTTGAATAGATGTAGGAGGTCAGCATCTATGACCATGAGCTAGTTTACAGGAGGTAAGTATGTATGATACAGTCCAGAGGGCTCTGTTTTCCTTTGGACTGTATCATACACAGTTGTGAAATACTAGCTAGGAGTTAACAACCAGAGCTTATTCCGTACAAAATCACCACGAGCACGCTCAGCCTGAACATTAAATCTGTCTCATTTTCACTGTCAGAGAAACACTTATAGAGAATTAGCCAGATATTTAGACATTTCCCTCATTATTCCATTCATTTAATTGCTTAAAAAACCCAGAAGGGTTGAAAAGGAAGCATAGAAAATGTTGTATCAAAAGATAATTGCAGCCAATTTGCTTATAGCTTTAGGAAGATATTTATGTATAGAATATATATCAATAACAGTGGGATACTGAGTGCTTCAGAGATGCTTTTATTTTTTCAACTAGGAGGGTTTCCTCTGTATGTTTTCAATGACATTTATTCATTTGGTTATTATTATAATTGCAAGGCTTTGAGGCTGTGCTTTAGTAGACTTCAAAAGCACTGTTAAAAGAGACACTCATATGCTGATGGGCATTTTTGTCCTTAATTACTTGTTCAATAGTTTTTTTACCAAGCAAATAACACACAAGGTTCTATGATGTAGTCAGTACAACGTACCTGTAATTTTGTGCTTCACTGTCGAGAGAAAACTGATCATATTGTGAGAATTCTGAGTTTCCTTCCCAGTCACTCAGCTGGATCCTCAGTTTGTAGGACTGTTGAGTTGTCATTCTGGAGACAAATTCATTTCCTAACCAGAATTCACCTGAAGGTTCTCCAAACCCCTGAAAAGACATAAAATAAATGTAATCATACCGTGTTGAACTCCTGCAGGAGAGGCTTGTGGGTCACTTTCTCTATTAACAAAACAGCAAACAGTCAATTTCACATTCAAAATTAGATACTTAAAAAAAAGTATGCCAGTTTAAATTAGCTTGAATTGTGGTAAGAATAAATTAGATGGCATGAAAGCATTTTTCTGCAATGATTGCTTATCGGGGACTTGAGACTCTTTTTGGCACTTTTATCTTCCATTTGGTGCAGGCAGTTATTGGGTATTTCCTCTAACAGAGTAGAATCCAGAGGCTTTTAAGACTCTTCCAGTGAAAAGCCAAAACCAAATCTGCTCTCTGTATTGTTTTGCAATTGGAATGAAAACCGTAGCCTAGGTTATATTTCTTCTTGATAGCTTTTACCTTTTTGTACTCTTGCCACGTACGGTGGAAGTCAACATGGCCGTCAAAGCGTTTTTGTAGTACTGTCCACCCACCTCCTTCTGTCTCCATGTCACAGAAAGCCTTCACACACAAGCAAAAAATAATTGCTGCAATTATTAATTCAACATAAATGCTCTGTAAAGAATACATGCTCATTTTTAATTAGTCATTGCCACCCTATTTGAGCTTGGGCAAAACAAATGTGAGTCTGTGTCTTATTCTCTGAAAAGTTTCTAAGGAGATCACAGTTTCAGCTCAAGCATGCACATCATTAATGACAGTCTGAGAACATTTTTCATTTAACTTTCCCGCCTCAAACACAATACAGTCCACTAAGCCAAGGGCTTTATTCACTGGGTTGTGTAAATGTGGGTGGGTCATAGTCTGACTCAGTCGTTCAGGCTTACTTTACCTTAACCTCTATTGTAGTGTTGGGTAGAGTGAGAGTGTATACTCCACTCTGGGTGTTCCCTGACTTGAACACAGCAGCACAGTCCATGAACGTTGTAGGAGTGTCCTGCATCATGACAGTTTTGCTCTCTGCAGAAGAAATAAACCTTGTAAATCTGACACAAAATTGTACAGAATCTAACTATCCTCCTTTGATAAGGTCACATTTACTGAGAATATAGGTCACTTTCATTGCTCCATTGTTACTGCTTTAACAGGAAATCATGCGGTAATTAAAGATAGATAGCCTGCCTTTGTGAAGTTCACAGCGCGATAACAGTGTCATATTGATTTACAGCAGACTCTATGTATAGGCGGTTCCCAAGTATGGATGTGTTCTACAAACACACATTTAAGAGTGCATCCAACAGGTTATGATGACCTGAGGTTTGGACTCACCTCGAGACGAGCCGGCAGAGATGGTGTGAATGAGGTTGTTGACGGTGTCTAGTAGCTCCTGCTGCTGGAGCTGCAGTGCAGTGTTGTTAGGGGACACTTTGAGCAGCTGCTGCTCCAACTGGCCTATGATGGCCGTCTGCCTCAGTATTAGAGTCTGAAGTTGCTCTTTTTCATCTCTAAGCGTCTTCAGCTCCACCTGCCTCTGCTCCTCCATCTCATCCACCTTTTTCTCCAGAAATCTGAGGAGAAGCAGGCAACACGTTGAGCATCAAGCTGAGCCCATAACTGTTAGAGACCATTGAATTATCTGATGTCCTCACCTGCTTTTGTCATTTATCTTGCTGATATCATTTGTTTGGACAATTAGTTGTTTTTCCAGCTTGTTGGTTGACAAGGAATTTTCAAGAAGTTGCCGTTCAAGTCGAGTTGTTTGTTGAATTACCTACAAATCAAATAAAAAGGTAGAGCTGTTTAGCCGGGTAGTCTCTAAGAGACACCTTGTGAAATTGTTTGTTCGTCAATCAGTAGATCTTTAAATATAAAAGGAAAGTATAAGATTATGTAGTTCTCATCAACTTAAAGAAGTGCTCAAGATCCTACAATACTTCAAAAATGATACAGATGTATCTGACATTTCTCCATATTGTGTTGAAAATAGTATGAAAATAATAACATGACTTGTAGCAATTTAGAAAAGTGAAAGACATGAAACATACAAGAAGGTGTATAAAAAACCTTCACCACAACCTAAAAAGGTTTGTCTGTCAACAGGCATTTTATCAATAATCCTTTTGGACACCAAGTTCTGTCTTCAACAAATGCTTAGTTCGCACTTAAAAAGTGAACAAACAGCCATTTGAAAAAATGTGACAGGAAAGAACGACCGAGTTCCAATACAGCAGACATACCTGAACAAGGGAAACGTTAAAAACTACGTATTTTCACGGACAGATGTATTGAACTAAACTCTGGGGTTGGGGACCTTGCCTCTAATTTCCCACTTCGGAGGAACTGAACTCAGCAAAAAGCAGGTTGTTTACAGGGATCGCAGCTATGTGTCTGCAGTGGAGCTGTTGATGCCTTTGAACAGACGGATGTGTGATTGTGACAAACTGATAGACCCTTTCTGTGGGAATACTAGTGTGCTAATAACAGGAAATGCTGTACAGTTGGCTCACATAAGGTCATTGACGTGTAGCCACAATAATAAACTGACGCATTCATTCTTGTTTTTCCCTGTGCTTATTTTTTTCAAAGCAAGGTATTGCAGATCACACGTAGATTTGTACCTTTGACGTGAAATAAATAGATTTACTTGATCATAAAATTGTATCATGTATGCCGAAAAAAGGACTTGCACCACATTTTCTTTAGCATGTTATATTGTTGAGAAGTTGTTCTGTTGCTAAGGTATCATGTTTGCACTTTCTAGTGTTGTGTACTGTTGTGTTAAAAGTAGCAGGAAGTTGGGGCTTACCTGTGCCTCCACGTTGGACAGTTTCCTTGTTTGCTCTGCGGTTTGACTCAGCAGGTTTGTTCCGATTTCAATCATCGTCGCTGTGTGGTTTTGTACAGCAGTCTGTTGGATTTGGACGATGTCCTGCTTCATATTATCCTGTATGTAGTTCTCCAGCTGCAGCACAGAAAAAAGACAATTTGAAAAAGTGAATTATTGTGCATGGCCAATCCTGTATTACATATTATTTTGTTTTTTATTTTAAATAGTGTAGAAATGTATTCTTCAAATGAAACCATGTTTTTCTTATCGTTGGTTAGGTGGATTGTATTTCTTTTAAATCAATGAAATGATTTGAGGGGGTTTATTAATCTGTCCAGATAAGACCTTCTCTGACTTAACCCTGTCCGTATGACACTTGTTGATCATAGCAATAATACAATGAGCATGGATGCCCTCAGGGGGGGAAAGGTCAACGTTTCATCTTTACGGGATTTGTTCTTAGCTACCTTACAGTATTGCCATTTTTAGACCAAGACCAATCATTAAGTTATTTCCTGCATGGTGTTCCTGAGTGGCAATCAGGTCACGCGACTCGTAAACAGGATGGAAGTGTTAAATGAGGAGTTACATCCTTTGCGAGGGTATGACATGAGTTTACCGGCGGAAACCAGCGTCAGTTGAATATCTTTCTCATCTCCAGTAAGTTTGCATTATCACTATCAGTATTTACTCATCAGTCAGCAACCTTAAACAGCCACTTTTATTATTATTTGTATTGTGGAAAATAGCAAGGACATCTGCAATTAGTGCTAATTTTGTTTGTCTTCCTTTCGTGACGTCAGGTTTGTTTATGTTCGTGGAGACACAAAAGGATGTGTTGTAGGTGCAAGGCTGTCATTTGAAATGCAGGCAGGATGTCCCATCGACCGTCAAGGATCTAATCAGTTGTTTACTCCCGCGCCTCAAAGGCGTCAGTAGGAATGTCTGTTCCTCAACACATTGTTTTCCTCAGCTGTCATCAGCTGGCGCACTGTAAATAGGAACTAAGAAATTAGGAAATGACAAATTTGGTGATTATTTTTGATACGTAAATCTGGCCTGATGGAATTGTCCATGGTTTCTCATTTACATTTTTTGTTAATGCATCAATTTGTAGATGCATGTGCAAACGTAAAATGATAGCAAATACAAAGCATATTCCTCTGAAAAGATGACGATAACTTGTTTATCAGGTAATTCACACTCATTTACCTTTAACCATTCCATCAATCAAGCAACCGTAAAAGAGGTTTATAACCTGAGTTATAAACCTGTGAGTAAATCAAGTTGTATATTATCAATCGCTCTTTTTCTTTACCTAGCTATTCCCATTAAGGGGTCATGGAGAGCTGACACCTTTGACGACATGTTACCCTATGGAACTTATAATCAAAGTTACACTTTTATTATTTTGAAACTCCCATATATCATTTTTTAATGAATTAAGGTTGCATTCAATGTAGCAAGCTTTCAGCTGCTACAGAATGTATTTGTATTGTTTAGCTGTCAAAGAAATGTGACTTTCTCCGACACATCTAACAGCTTGTCTCGGTTAGTGATTGTTCTGGGTCGCTGAACTTATTCAGGCCATATTCACTTCTGATAGACTTTAACAAAAACAAAGTCTTCCAAATGTTTCATTCAGAAATTGTTTATAAAAATGTTTTTGGTTGTTACAAAGCAAAAGTCATTTTTGTTTGAAAGGGCTTAACATCAAACAAACAATGCACCTTTAAAAACACTCACAAACATACTTAAAGTCGGACTGTTGGAACTGCTGTTGACAAGAACCGTGTTGACGGGTCAGAGTAAGGGGCCTATTTTCATTCATTCAGGGTGATGATCACAGAGGGAAAAAACAGGCCAGTGGGATTTTCTAGCACCTGATGGCAGTAACTGGGGTTAGATGGGTTCTGCTTGAACAGAGTGGCTTTCTGATCACTGAAAGTGCTGTTCAGAGGGGAGAGTTTGGGCTGAACACATTATTTTGCTGGCCTGATTAGTTTTGCGGGAGGGTTATGTTTTGTGTTTGGTAGTGAGGGAATTGTACAGGATAAAAGGTTTAATGTTGATAAGATGTATAATATTTACTAGTAAGAATCTGTTTTATATGTTGCTAGTTACAAATCCCATTTGTTCTTTAGGGCAAAGAATCAAGTTAATATTAGTAAAGAACATCTGTGTGGGGAAACTTGAACCATCCCACCTTAGCTGGGATCTCCTCTCCTATATGTATCTTCATGTGCACATTAATGTGGTGCGCTGACACAGCAGTAGAAGCTTCATGATTAATTAGCAATGCTTCTTTGTGTGTAAGAAATATGTAACCTGTCACTTTGTCTGCTGCGCTGTCGGACTTTGTAAAACGTTCACGTGTCTGGCGGGCTTTGATTTGTGAGGCAGCTCTTATTCCTGCTGAACAGATCAGAGCTTGTTTAATGTTACAAGACAGGGTTTGTGTGATCCAGCTGTGATTTGATCTTGTCCTGTCTGGCTCCGCTTGTTTAGGTCTCATCAGTAATAGAAATAGGGAGAAGAAAGGGAGCGAGACAAGAGGCCGTTCACTTCTTTCTCTCGCGCAATTATTTGCTCAGCAAACTGAAAGGGAAGTATGCATCCCTTGTGTGGACACCTGTGTCCAGTCTTTGTCAATCATCAAACCCTAGTGTGTCCTTTAACACTAAAGGAAGTGTTTCACAGACACTCAGCACTCTAAACGCTCTGTTTACACCACTTCTAGTTCAGTCTACATTCCTAAAGAATAAGAAAGACCTTTTGAAAAACTAAAATATGGCCTTTTATTACATTTTGTTTTTTACGAGTTACATAAAACACTACATAAAAATGGTAAATTGATTAAAATGCTCATTTCACCATGATTTTGTCATCAGTTGTGTTAAATGCTGCCATTGAATCACTCAAACATGTTCTGGTATTAGTTAAACGTTACTCATGTTGTTTGGAACCTGTGGTAGTGAATTGTGAGCCTGGGTAATCTGCCCATTGCCTTAAACCAAAATAAGTTGTGATTTAATTCATTTAAAACAAATTATTTAGAAAAACAAGTTTCTGTTGAAACTTCTTTTGGATGTCAAAAATAGTAATGCGCTATCTGTTGAAATATATAACATTATATTCTAGTGGAAAACTTGTGGTCAACATTTAATGCACATTTTCCTCATGCTCAATACTAAGTGTTTAATTTTCTTTAAAATGCTTCCTATTTGTTTCTCCTTTCTGGATAATTAGAAAGGGAGATAATTGTCACCATGACACCTGTGGTAGAGCAAGGGTACATCTTTAGCACATGTTTCCCTCTTGTACATCATAATGGTCTTGGAAACCTAAAAATCCTCTTTTCCTCTGAAACGATCAATTCAATTGAAGTTGGCATGTCGGATAAGAAACTTATATTTCCAATTCAGAAAGGCATTTAAATGAATTGATGATAAGAAATTAATATACAACAATATGCAAATATCATCAATCATATTGAATACAGTATACAAAACATTAAGTAACAATTCATGTTTGCAGCTATACAATTTAAAAGTGTAATCACTCATTCACCACAAAACGTGTTTCTCTCAGTGCAAGGCAGCATGGATATTACATTTTCCGAGGTTCTGGGAGATGAAACTCAGGATACATATTGATTTATTTAAGAAAAACAAAAATCTTACTAATAATCACAGAAGTAACTAGTGTCGGTCTCAACCTCTGTTAATACAGCCTGGCCTTTCTTGGTAGTCTTTTTTTTATGGCCAGGCTGTGTCCACTCAGTCTTCACCTTGTAAACTGTTTTCAATCATTCACCTAGTTTTCTATCTATGACTCTCTCAGTAACTGTACCCAGGCAGTCACAGTCTCATGTATCCCTGTCATATTGTGGTTTGACACTACCTTAAGCAGCCACTGTGTGTTGTTCTCCATGATGTTCTCCAGTTGTTCCAGCCTCTGAGCTGAGTCCTCGTCGTCCACAGGTCCATCCTTCTGATCTGGATAGAAGTAGCTGCTGCTCTGAGTCTGGCAGTTCTCCTGCTCTGGCAGCAGAAAGGTGTAGCTGCACGGCCCGTTTTGAATCTGATATGATCTTTTAACCGCAGCACTGTATCCTGTCCCCAGACCAAGGCAGAAACTTAAAACTAGTAAGTCCACATTCAGCATCTTCATAATAGAGTTAGGTGCTAAGTCTGGTCTTTAGCTTGTTCTTAATCCTCTCTCAATGACTGGATGTCTTTCTCCAGCGGCATCCAAGGGTAAACAATCCTTCGAGGGTCTGCAGATTCCTTTTATTACCTCTCAGTGGGAGGAGGATCAAAAAGCCATCAAGAATTAGATGTAGCGTGTCATTCCCTTTAGGTTACTGGTGGCAGACTGCATGTGCTCGCTTTGCATCAGCCCCCAGCCACTTGTTTGAGCTACTACTGGCCCCTCTGATTAGCTGAGAGTCCAAAACCACTCCCCCCCCCCCTAGTCACTGAGGAGCAGTGAAGTGGGGATTCCTTTCAGTACGCACTCACTTCACATCACAGAGGAGCAGATGCACAAAACTACACACCTTCCACTATATCCTCTACAACACACATGTTTTTGTCTGCTTCAGTTGAACAGCTACTCAGGATGCAGCTGTGCACCTTCAGCATGCTCTGTGATAGTAACAGAGTTCATCCCATTCATTCAGAATTGTTTCCCGGGGACAAACACACTTGCAAATGTGAATGGAGGATCCAAAGGAAGAAATCACTCATTCCACGGATTCTTAACTTGTCTGTATGCTTTATCAATGTTTTAAGCAAAATCTACTTATTTTTCCTTTTTCTGGAAGAAGGTTTTTCATTTTGAAACGCTTTTATGTCTTTTTCATTTTACAAGTTCAAAATGTTATAAAACAGATATTCCTTCAGGTTCTATAAAGTCTCATATCAGTACAAACTACAGATGCAACTTGTTGACCGCTGACCACAAAATAGTTGCTGTTGTTTTTTCATCCGCTTTAGGGTGGATTCCGATGATCTCGTCTGAGTCACAAGTATAATGAGGCATTATCTGCTTGTGACCCTTTACAACAGCAAATCTATGAGAAAGTGATTTTTTCTCTAACAAGAAAATGCATTTGTTTAAAGTGTGGTCGACTTAGTCAAATTGGAACTCTCAGCTTTTCATATGTGGGCATGTCGTGGGTGTTTTCTGTATCCTGTCCCAAACATTCATGTCTACACCAGCTTAAAAATAGCACAACAAAAAGGGACTTCACACAGGGAAACTATTTCACTGTATATTGTAGGTGTGTGTGACTGTTAATACTGTAATTCATCAGACTTATAACTAGAGATTTCTAGAAAAGATTGGAGGTTTTCCAGACTTATTGAAGGCAGTGTTTTTTGGCAAGCTCTGATGTTGATAACCAGAGTATTTTTCAGTCATTCTTTTGGAAAAACATGCCTGAAATGCTTGTTTTACCAAGTTGTTATTCAGTGGCTTGAACAAAAACTGTTCTTTAAACGAGACGCCCCTCGGTTATGTTTTAGAAAACTAGATTTTTATGAACAGATATTGATACAGCTATATCAAAATGTTTTTTATAATTACTTTTTTTGAGGCACAAATGTAAGGTTTGATGTCTTTTCCTCTAATTGGAATATTTAGCTCAGAGTGCTCTCATGCCTCAGTGGGGAACAGAGTGCAGGTGTGTGGAGCAGGAAAGACATTGCCATAGGAGGATGTTGTGTCCTCTACTGCAGGAATGTGTCTCCATCAAAGACAATCTCCTTCTGATTCAGGGGTTTGACTCTTTGCTATTGTCTACTGAATAATCATTTTCCTTGGCATTACAGCATTTCAGTCTCAAATGCACCATTTTTCATTTTGTGTCAGGAAAGCCTTTGATCTGCCCTCTGCAGTCGGATAGAAACGCAGAAACAGAATTGTAGGAATTAGGCTGATATAATAGCTACTGTATAAGGGAAATGTGACATATTTAAGGCATATTACCAAAGAGGAAGAACTTGTCATCATTCCAAAAACATTGACTTTTTCAGGTGTTCAGGCGGATCACTCAAACTTTAGTGGCAACGGTGATAAACAGGACACTAAACATGCTGTCGTACTACGAGCAGACATCGGGAGCACACGTTGTATTTTTTTATGATGAGAGAAATTCTTGCCTTGCTTTATTTGTTACAAATCTGTACAAGCCCTCTGCCTTTCTTGCACAACAAAGAGAAAAGTCAGTCTTTAGCGGCTGCAAATATATCGATTGAATTGTCAGGAGGTGGTGGAATTTCCCATCTGAAAAACCAATTATTCTTTAGTTGGCACTTTACAATGCAATTGACAGTGTTTACCAGAGAAAGCTTACAACTGGCATCTCTATGACCCGTCCTCTAGAGATTTGAAAAATCCAGCGCTGTGGTACTGAGAAATGCAACCACAGGCTTCAGCAAGTTCACAGACTAATACTTAATACAGATGTGAGTCATGAATAATGTATCTTTAAGCAGTATTTACTAGATATGAAATGTAGGAAAATCCAGACTGATGTTAAAAGTTAGTTGGCATGACAATTAGTTTGACCCTGAATAAGAGACCCGTGTCCATGTCTGCGTGGATATATGCACTTCAGTAAATGCTTGACAACATTTTCTGTACATAGAAATATATCCTCATATTGATTTTTAGAGGCTTAGTTTTGTGTTTATTCATTTACTGTATATGTACTTTCTGATTAGCTCTTGTAACATGTTTGTGTTGGACTGTTTCTCCTCATTCTTAAAGCCTCTTTCTCACATAATAAACCTTACATATACTTTTCAATCATTATCTTAAAAGCACACTATGTGGGTTAATCTTAACTTGACCCCGTCTCTGAACTTTTGACCAATCTCTGATTACTTGACGTAAAGTGAAACTTGTGTGAAGTGTGAACATTGACAAAAGACTAAAAGCCTTAAAGCTGGTTTCCTGGCATTCAGCTTCAGAATAGAGCAGATTGTTCCCTTCAGTTTAGCAGCTGACCCTTGCTGGATAGAGAGCGGGCTGCAGTGAGAGCTCAGAGCATCACTCAGCAAACCCAAAAAGAAACACAACCTCAAAGAGATTCACATGCCCTCATTTAGTCAGACAGAGTTCGTAATGCTACATGAAGAATGTGAGCGAAGGAAATGAAATCGAGCACATGAGTTGTCATGGTAGATCACAATAATGCCACTCAGAGTTGAACAGTTAGCAATGAGTTACTGTGATTCTTAAATTATTTAAATTAAAAAATCTGAGGCTACATTGAAAGTTTAAGTGCAACTATAATACTGCTGAATAGTTGGTTTGAAGTTATTTAATGTTATTGTACTCTAACAAACTGTTGTAAGTCCAGCAATAACACATACCAACAAAATATGCTATTTGAATTAGATGTAATGATACATTAAGCCTTTCAGTTGTGCTAGTTTTGTATGTGACTCAAAGCCAAATGCTTACATCCTCTGCTGTATCTCTAGCAGCCACCTTCAGGCCACTCTCAGTATTGAATCCTATGATCGAATCACAGTTTCAAACTTGTGACTATGACTTTTAAATTAGTTTTTTTCTGGCTTCAGTCAATATTTAATTTATTTTTTCATCAAGGACAGCTAAGATGTCATGGTTAGCTTTATTTGAATGTTTATTAGAGAAAACATTGATCCATTCAAACGATAAGAGAGGAACGTTTCTTGAACTCAATGAATACAGGGGGAAGTATGGCAGAAATCCAACAATGTTTCAGAACAATCTTGTTTAGAAGAGTTTGGAGGACAATTAGCCGGATGTTGATCTAACTCTTAATGCTCTCTAACGCTGTGTTCCAGTAAAAGTCGAAGGTCAACATTTCTCAGTTTAAGTTTCCAATCCCCAGGATTTTCAGGTGCATGACACAGTTGACTGATAAAGTGATATTCTTTTGGAGAGTGTACTCCCAATAGAACTCCAGCAGTGCAGCCTTCTTGCATAAATAAACAGAACCGTTTTCCCAAATAACTTTTGTGCAGGAGAACAACTTTTAGAGATTGTTTCCCATAACAATCTACGTCGTAACATTGGTGAACTATTTTGACATAACTTGTATTTACATGCAGAACAAGTATTACTATATGATGTTTATTTCTTAAATTGAAAGCAGGCAAATACACCTGACATTGCATTTTAGTTGATGGTTTACAATTTATAATGTATGCTTCCATTGTTGTGTGCCATCACACAACTGCTACTTCATAAAGTCGGGGTAGATGAATTTGTCCTGAGAATAAATTCTTACTTTCACTGAAGACATGTGGACATGTCACAGCAGGAAACACACAGGTGTAAATACCCAGCTCCCCCTGACAGGTGGTTTAATCTAAACGTGAACAAATGGATACATTTTTACGTTTCTTTTCCCAGATCTGTCGTCTCCAGAGGCACCTGTCGGCCGGGGAGCACCAGCAGGATCTGTTCCAGGACCAGCCCGCCATGTTTGTGTCCCAGCACTCGCAGCCACCCACCCAGAGTCTGGAGGAGCTGATCGAGCTCTGTGGAGGGACGGTGTGCAAAACTGTGCGGCAGGCGGGCATCTGCATCGGGAAGTACAACGGCAGGAAACCAGAGGGAAGCAGGGTCCTGTCAGAGCAGTGGGTGCTGGGTAAGATCATTTCTGTGTAACATGCTAAATGACTATATTCTGCTGCTATTAATTGTTCCTCTCATTTGTTTGTGATTTTATTTCAGATAGTATCATGCATTTGAAGCGGCTGTCATACGATAACTACGACTTGGAGTGAAAGCTGTGAAGTTTATTTTTAGTGCTTTTAATGTTAGACAGTGCCTGGTCAAATGCCCACAGTTTCTACCTTACAGTGCTCTTGCCTGTTGTGTTCAAGGGCCAGGTCCTCTCAATATTCAGCTTTTATACCATTTTATTCACTGGTTAGGTTACCATGGAAACCTGTTACCTCTGAGGAATATCAACCCTTCAAGATACTGTGAAGCATCGAAAACTGCACCGACATCAATCCTTCATTATTTTCCTTTTTTCATAAAGTAGTAACCACTGATATTGTTTTTCATTCTTAACAATGTGATTCTAAAATACTTGCTGACCCAGTTTAACAGTCTTATAAAATAACATACTGTAACATGTTTGTGCCTTAATAAATTCTTTATCAAAATGTGGATTATCATGATTAGTTTTTAGGTTCAAATCTGAAATGTAACAAGATAAATGTAACTGTGTCTGGTGACAGGCAACAAATGAACAAGCTGCTTTCTCACTGTGTAGACTCAGTCATGTGGAAGCAGCAGATGGAAAGTAAAAAACGTGCTCATTACATAGGTACCAGACTCTTGCCTGAGAATATCTAGTTACTATACACTTGCTTTCACTATTTCAGTGATTCACAAGTATCATGTACATGCATGTGCATGTTAAGGTCATAACGAATAAGGTGAAGCAAGTTTGTTAAGGTTGTTTAGACTGCACCATTCAGACCAGAGGCAAGTTGAAGTGCTTTAGGGGATTTAGAAATACTTACATATATTAAATAAACAGTTTGAGATTGACAGAAGTTATGTATCTAATTTAAGCAGAAATATTTTCAATCGGCTTATAGTTTAGGCAAACTCCAGGACATATAGAGTGGTTTGAATAGTCAATAATGAATACATGTTTTATCTAAATCAATAACTTACCCCTTTGTCTTTGCATTACACTTTTGGAGCTACTTTATCTGGGCAAGCCCAGTAATTATTGCAGGTCAGCACAATATGACTGATCTATACAGAACAACACCCTCTGCTATCTACCCGCCTTCTGCAATCATTACTAAGTGATATGTGTCAGATTGAATACTTTTTCAAAGTTTAGAATAACACATTTAAATGTTGACGTTTGAATTCTATTGTTTTTCACATGTTCAACAATTACATAGGAGTCCTTCGCAATGGAAATCTTAAATCTAGGGCTCAATTATACACGGCTGATTGAATATGCATAACACTGAATTAAAACGAGAGTATGAACATAAAATAAAAATATATCAAATATAACATGTATGAATATGACATAACATGAATGTATGCATACATGTGTATAATGACTCCTGCATTTCACTCCGGGTACTAATGTGGGTTTATCTTATCTTGTGTTGTTAAATAATGTAATCATATAACAGTCTTATAAATACATTGGAGACAAACAAGAAAAGTTGCTATAGCCATTAACTATATTATAGCATCAGACTGTTAGTATGGTTATAGCCCTTTAACAATAATACCCATGTCGTGCCCCCGCCGGCTGGCTTCCACCAGAGCCCTAGATATCTCTCTCGGGCTCTGGCTTCCACTACGTAGCTTGACCAATCAGCTTCGTCGATGTTAGGGGGTGGCATTACGTAGGGAGGCGTGTGTGACATTTGCTGCATGATGCTAGTTTATGAACAGCTAGCTGGATAAAGATGAAGACCTGGGCAAGGAAATAGAACAAATTAGCTTTTTAACAACTAAGCTTACTTTTGGGTTACACTTTGTTATCGTACCCATATTAGGGGAGCGAGTTTATTTAAATGTAGCGTTTGATCAAACTTCCTGTCAGGCTTAATACGTTAATTAACAGTTAGTAAGCTAACACTTTTAACGTATACTGTACATATTCCGGTTTAGGTACTGTTTGTGTTTTTGCGCTAAAAATGTATCAGTTAACTTCGCTCGTATGGGTGGACGTTAGCGCTTAAGCCGACTTGGCCCTTTTGCACACAAGGTTAACATTAGCTTTAGCCAGCTAGCTCCTCTTGCTGCAGCTTTATTACTTTCTTATTTTACTTGTCAGGGCAGGTATGCTTTGGGATTGATAGGGTCTGCATCTTAAACACAGAGTGAGTCCTACAGCCTACTTCAGGGATCATTTCAGTTACTTTAGTGGAGCCAGAGGTGGAACCATGCTGCTCTCCTTGGTGGTGCACACATACTCGCTGCGGTACTGGTTTCCAGCCACGGTCATGCTGGGGACAGCTCCAGCTTACATCCTGTCATGGGGAGCATGGCGATTACTTTCCACTGTCTTACCAGCAAGGGTATATCACAGGTTGGATGACCGGTTGTACTGCATGTACCAGAGCATGGTCCTGTTCTTCTTTGAAAACTACACAGGGGTGGAGGTGAGTGATCCTTAATTTACTGTCTTTACTTGTGTGGTCACCCTGTGTGGACTGTGTTTATTAAGGATGGGGAATTTAAACCACTAGTATCTAATAATAATTTCAATTGTTATAGCGCCTTTCAAGAGCCCCAGGACGCTTTACAATGGGAAACAAGTGTAGTGATAGTAGAAAACCAGGACCTTGGCATAAGTGACAACTGCCTCTGAAATGCTGAGCTTGCAGTCTGAACTGGCCATCTGTTTTCCTGTTTATTGTCTACTTGTGTTGACTACAGGACCTATGAATAGCTTATAATGCTTCGTAAGGTCAGCCTAGTTCTATAAGTCTCGTTTTTTTTTTACATCACCTACCTAACTTGCCTTTTTTATCTTTTGGAATTGTGTTTCTGCTGCAAAACGATATTGCATGCACAGCACACCGCATGCAGATCAGTGCATTTTTGCAGTAACTCTTAACACAATGTCAGATGGGGACTGCCTGCAGAGACTGGTAAACTAAATCGTGATGGACCAGATGCCTGCAGCAGTGCAATCATCTCTGCATTCTTTGCCCTTGTGCTGCCACTCCTTTTACAGTGGGTTCAAGTTTGCAAAACAAAACCAGCAGTCACTGTGTTTTGTGTAATAAAACTGCCCCTCCCGATTGCTGAATGGAAGCCACATAGTCGATTGTAGGGCAGTCCCCTCTTAATCTTCCTAATGATCAAAAAAGGAAGTCGACTAATAATTTCTTTAGTCAGGACAGCACTAGTAGATTGGAAGAGAAGTTTCAATGAGTCTTCAGGGTTAATTGGAAAGCTGAGGTCTATGACGGTTTAGTTTCTTAGAAAAGTCTGAAGTGGAAACAAATCCCTGAAAGAAATCTTAATGTAGAAGCATTTTTCAAACTGATGCCAGTCCACCATTTTGCTGTGGTTTGTAATATCTTTAACTTGCCTTTTCTGTAGGTTATTATATACGGAGATATACCAAAGAACAAAGAGAACGTGATCTACCTGTCCAATCACCAATGTACAGGTAATACATTTACATCTTAGAGAATCTCAGTCTAGTGTGAAGCACATAGAGTAAATGTACCAATGTCTTTTCTTGCAGCTGACTGGATCATTGCGGACATGCTGGCCATCAGGCAGAGCGCCCTTGGCCACGTCAGATACGTCCTTAAAGACGGCCTCAAGTGGCTCCCGCTGTACGGATGGTATTTCTCTCAGGTAATACAACTGTGTGAGTATTGAATGTCATTTGTCATTGTGAATTACGGATGTAGAGAATGTACACTCATGTTGAATCACATTCCCAAGTGCTGCTCTCATCAAATTATCTTTTTGTTTCAGCATGGAGGAGCCTACGTGAAGCGAAGTGCAAAGTTCAATGAAATAACGATGAAGAAGAAGCTCCAAACCCAGACTAAATGTGGAGCACCAGTAAGTAAATTAGCCTCTGGACTACATGCTTATTGACACAACAATGTCTGCCATGTCTTCCCCTAAATTATGAATAGCTTTACATTTTTCTGATCATCACAATCCTTTTTGTTAAAACTTCTCCACTTGAATTCACTGCAGAGCTTTCTACAATAATCAAACACAATTCTTTCTTCCAAAGATTCCCTCTTACCCTACTTGCATTCGGGATGTTGACCTTAATAGTGCTCAGTTTGTATGAACAGAACATCTGATGACGAGAGCAGTACTGAAGTGTGTGTTATTGTGTTGAGAGCTTGTTTTTAATCACTTTTTGGGGGATTAAACTGTTGGGGATTAGTGTGTGTGTTTGTGTGTAGGGGTGTGTACTGACAGAACAGTTCCTCGTGACCTAAAGGTACACTATAAAAGCTCTGTTGTGTCACACATTTGTGCACTTATTTTCATCTTCGTTCCTATTTGAATGAAATGTACCAATGGACATTTTGTTTAAGACACAATGAGAATGTGTTTGTTGTAGCCAATGAATAGACTCTTTAAATATCCTTGTGAATGTTATGACCAGTTAGAAGTGTGTGGCTATGCCCGAAGAACGCAATTATAGAAAGGGAAACATCTTCGTACAGAACTTGCTTCAAAACAAGTGTTAAACAGGGGTCAGCTTTAAATGCCTGTCGACTGTAATTCACAAATAAGTGATTAAGCGTTTTAGAGATGGCTGCATTGGTCCATTCTTTGAAAATATGAGTACTTTTTGTAGAAAAAAGGCCTTTTTATATTTTGTTGAAGATGAAAAAATAAGGATTCTTCTATAAATGAATTACTGCTCAGTACAGTGCTGAAGTTTTTGTTTACATTTTTCACATCTGACATCAAAGAAATGGGCAGAAGAATAAGGATACAGCACAACAAACTCAGATCTATCAAGCACTATGTAATCATAGAGGGTCCACATCCAGTCAAATGTAATCCCACTTCTTCAACTCGTAGATTTAAGTCATTGCATTTGTGTGTGTGTGTGATTTGAAAAGAGCCAGCGATGAAAATGGTGTTGAAAGTTTTCTTCTAAACATCATAAGTTCAGCACAGTGTTTGATGTTTAACGAATCCTGTCAAAGTTAGAAAATCCATTTTGGCCAGTGTAATAAGAATCTGAGCTTTGATTTCCTGTGTTTTCTTCCTGCAGATGTACCTCGTCATCTTCCCTGAAGGAACCCGGTATAATCCGGAGCTCAAGAGTGTTATCACTGACAGTCAGGCTTTTGCCACCAAAGAAGGTACCGGCATGACAGCAGCCATTAACTACCGCATACTAATTCAGCACATCCCACTCAGTCTGTAACTTGTTAGCCTTCGACCAATGAGCGTCACATACAAAAGGTTTTTAGGAAAGGTCTTAATTTCATGGTGAGGGCTTCTGTTTATCTCCTTTGTTACAACAATTAGAATCATGACAGAGCAGGGCTGCTATCCACAATTATTATTTTATTATCAAATTATATTTAGATTTTTCTTTTACTTGAATTGTTGAATGAAATCTGTTTTGTCCAAGGTGACTTAATTTAATACAAAATAAAACCAGGATGTTCTGTTGATCAACCAATCGATTGGTCGGCAGCCCTATAACAAATTAAAGAATGGTATAGAAAATGGAAAGCTGTAGAGAATTTGTTATCATAAAAGTATTTTGTGCGAACATTTTTATACTCTTATTTAAGATTGATTTAGTCAAGCTTTGTAAACTTTAAAACTACCAAATGCATTTGTGTTGTCATAGGATTATGAGTGTAATGCCAGGAATTTGTTCACTAAAACTGCTTATTGACGAGTCAGCTGGTGCAGCTCAAAGTTTGAAATCGACTTGCTGCTGGTCGATAAAAGAGAATTTACTGCTCACTAAGAATGGGTTTGGAACAGACGTCTCGGGTATTTTTGTAGCATGAGGTGAAATCAGCTGACTTTAAATGGTGATTTTACTGCAATGTAAATTAAATACAGCCTTATAATATGACAGCTGAATACGTCTGTGGCATCAATGAGATTATTATGCGGCTGTTTGAGGGGAGCGGTGTTTCAGTTTGACTCACAAACTGCCTCTATTCTGCAGAGATTAAGCCGGTCTCTCTATATCACCTTCCCCCATTAATCCACACAAATCGCTCTGGAAAGCCCACATGTGCACATGACATTATCTGCTATTAGTGAGGTATTAGTGGGCAGAGGGGGGTGTCTCCACGACTACAGAGGAACACACTGTGCAGTAAACACTATCATTCACACAGAATAAGTGTTTTTGTGTTTATTTTAAAGGTATTTTGGAAGGGAAGGGATGTAGGTAAGCACCTTCTATTGTGTAGGCTGATATATTTGCATACTTTATAGCCACACTGTGAAAATAATCTGTATTTGATTAAATAACTCTTCCCCTCCACAGGACTGGCTGTCCTGAAGCACACACTGACTCCCAGAATGAAAGCCTCTCACATCGCCCTCAATGCCATGAGTGACCACCTTGACGCCATCTATGACGTCACAGTGGCCTACGAGGGGACTCTGAGCGCCTCGGGTCAGAGAAGACCTGCACCATCGATGCCCGGTAAGCAGAGTTTAGGCATCTGGCACAGTCATTATATAGAAAGTAGTAGAACATTTTTTTTCAACACCTTCTCTCTTTTAACATGGTCTCCCTATGGGATCTGGCTATAATTGTCTTTAATGTGTTCAAAAATATTCTGTAAGGTGTATTCTTAGGGCTCCTACAGATGTGATAAGTACGTAAATACAAGCCAAAATCCAGGGGAGGTTGACTTCAGAACTATTTCATCTGCCCAGTCAGAAGATTTCTTTAGCCAAATTAGCTTAATTTGAGAGTGACAGTGTTGAAAGGGGGATACAGAAGGGATTACAAGTGTAAATGATTCCACGCCAGACTCAAGTCCCAAAACATGGGCCAGCAATTTCCAGTATTATCTAGATGATCATCACTATATACTTAAAAGTGTTGAAATGACATTAAAACTTACTGGTATCACTTTACCTAACACATATACATTGGGGCAAAAAAGTATTTAGTCAGCCACCAATTGTGCAAGTTCTCCCACTTAAAAAGATGAGAGAGGCCTGTAATTGTCATCCTAGGTACACTTCAACTATGAGAGACAGAATGGGGTGAAAGAATCCAGGAAATCACATGGTAGGATTTTTAATGAATTAATTGGTAAATTCCTCGGTAAAATAAGTATTTGGTCACCTACAAACAAACAAGATTTCTGGCTCTCACAGACCTGTAACTTCTTCTTTAAGAGCCTCCTCTGTCCTCCACTCGTTAACTGTATTAATGGCACCTGTTTGAACTCGTTATCAGTATAAAAGACACCTGTCCACAACCTCAAACAGTCACACTCCAAACTCCACTATGGCCAAGACCAAAAAGCTGTCAAAGGACACCAGAAACAATTGTAGACCTGCTCCAGGCTGGAAAGACTGAATCTGCAATAGGTAAGCAGCTTGGTGTGAAGAAATCAACTGTGGGAGCAATTATTAGAAAATGGAAGACATACAAGACCACTGATAATCTCCCTCGATCTGGGGCTCCACGCAAGATTTCACCCCGTGGGGTCAAAATGATCACAAGAACGGTGAGCAAAAATCCCAGAACCACACGGGGAGACCTAGTCAATGACCTGCAGAGAGCTGGGACCAAAGTAACAAAGGCTACCATCAGTAACACACTACGCCGCCAGGGACTCAAATCCTGCAGTGCCAGACATGTCCCCCTGCTTAAGCCAGTACATGTCCAGGCCCGTCTGAAGTTTGCTAGAGAGCATTTAGATGATCCAGAAGAGGATTGGGAGAATGTCATATGGTCAGATGAAACCAAAATAGACGTGTTTGGAGGAGAAAGAATGCTGAGTTGCATCCAAAGAACACCATACCTACTGTGAAACATGGGGGTGGAAACATCATGCTTTGGGGCTGTTTTTCTGCAAAGGGACCAGGACGACTGATCCGTGTAAAGGAAAGAATGAATGGGGCCATGTATCGTGAGATTTTGAGTGACAACCTCCTTCCATCATTGAAGATGAAACGTGGCTGGGTCTTTCAGCATGACAATGATCCCAAACACACCGCCCGGGCAACAAAGGAGTGGCTTCGTAAGAAGCATTTCAAGGTCCTGGAGTGGCCTAGCCATTCTCCAGATCTCAACCCCATAGAAAATCTTTGGAGGGAGTTGAAAGTCTGTGTTGCCCAGCAACAGCCCCAAAACATCACTGCTCTAGAGGAGATCTGCATGGAGGAATGGGCCAAAATACCAGCAACAGTGTGTGAAAACCTTGTGAAGACTTACAGAAAACGTTTGACCTCTGTCATTGCCAACAAAGGGCCACACATGATATCAGTGCATTAAAACAACCCAAAGAGTGGAGAAAACAGTATTTCTCCAACAGTATATAACAAAGTATTGAGATGAACTTTTGTTATTGACCAAATACTTATTTTCCACCATAATTTGCAAATAAATTCTTTAAAAATCAGACAATGTGATTTTCTGGATTTTTTTTTTTTCTTCTCATTTTGTCTCTCATAGTTGAGGTATACCTAGGATGAAAATGATAGGCCTCTCATCTTTTTAAGTGGCAGAACTTGCACAATTGGTGGCTGACTAAATACTTTTTTGCCCCACTGTATATGTTATTGCCTCACAGACGGAATGAATTATGCTGCTCATTGCTTTGTTCAATTAGCTTGAACCACGCTGTGCTTGTTGTCAGCCCCGCCTGACTAATTTAGTATTAAAGTTAATTACAGTGCTGGTGGAATCAACAGAACATCATTTACTCATTACAACTGGGTGTGAATACAACTAGGATTTTAGAAATGATGTGTAAATAATATGAATTAGTGCAGGGGCTGTATTGTTTTCTATTTCCTTCATAAAGTTACAAGTTGCATTTCACACCAGATTTCAAAATCATACATCGGCTAATCTGCATTTATCTCCCGATGTTGCAGCCATTGACGCACAGGCGTCGTTTCATTATTCCTCTAACATTGTGTTTGACCCCTCAGTAATTAATCACATAGAAAACATTACCTATTAACAGCAGCGTCTTCCTGTAAACAACATGACTTTTGATTATTTTGTATTCCCTGTTGTTAGAGGAGATCTGTTTGAATGTCTAAAAAAGAAACATCCCGGCAGGAATAAACATCGATGTGTTTCTAACAAACAAGAGAGAGAAAGAAAAGCATTCTTCTCATCATCACGCACTTCCTGGTCTCATGTGGTGGCGAAGGTGATTTTAGTGATTTCAGAAGGAAGTGGAAGTGACTCGAGGCCGCGTTCACACCGCAGCTACATGAGTCCAACATCTGAGTTTCACTTCCAACAAACCATTCTCACTCTCTTATGATCAGGTTTAACCATTTCAACATATGTGCTGGTACAGTGTATAGTACTTTAAGAAAATCAAGACATTGTCATATTTGATAATTGGAAGTGTTAATAATGTACAATCGGTTAATTCTTTTGAAAAAGGGGCACAGTAAATGTGACGTTATTGTAATATAGCATTTGTAACCCTACTGATATGACCAGTAGCAGATTGGTGTTTGAACAACAAAGTAAACAATTATAATTATTTAAACTATTGTAACAAATGAATCCCTTTTCTCTAAGTTAAATAAATTATATTCTGAACAACCATAAAACCACGGTACATTTTTGAGAAAGTTCAAACATTATATTTATATTTCTGTGGCCGATGGGGGTTAACAAATCATAGATTGGCTCTTTGTAAAAAAATGTCAACCCACTTCAAATGAAACTGTATCGTCCTTGGTCTGCATTACAACTTTAAACCAAATGAAAGTCTTTCTGACGGACCAACTAAAAGATAGAATGAGCTCCCTGCATTACTTTAGTAGCAGTTTGTTCTCCTCATTGTCTTGAGACGACTGAAAACTCATCATCAACATCTTTCAGCTTGACTAGAGTTTATTAAGAAAGGTTTGGGTCAGGAGCCAGTGTTTGCGGCTACAGAGCAACATGTTGATTTCCTTTCTTTATTCCAGGCGGTGTTTTTAAAGTGTTTTGGAACATTGTTTTGCAGTCGGGACGCTGAGTGTAGTATTTTCTTTTTAAGAGTGATCCTGCAAAATAAATCCTGTTTTTGTGTGTCTCTGCTCCTGATCCTCCGTGCACACACACTCCGTCTCGCGCAGTGTTTATTAAAGTGGCCCATATTGCCTCTGAAGGTCGATGGAAATCTGTTCACAGCTGATTGAGGCGCTCTCTCCGCCGCTGAAGCAATCTCTCGCTGCTGACTTCGATCAAGTTTCCTCTTTTGGCCGCAGTGCCAGGCTTCCTGATAATATTGCATGTTGTGGAAACAGGAACTCTGAGGTCTCGGGGGATTCACGTGTAGCCTTGAGCGTTCACACTTGGCTACATTTTTATGTCTGACCTCGGACACTTTTCTTTCTCTGCTCAGGGCTCTGACACTTTGAATGAAATCTCCACTTGACACTCAATATACAATACATCTTTATTTTAGGAACTTTTATAATAATAATAAAGCTTTATTTAGATAGCACTTTTCATACAACACATGCAGCTCAAAGTGCTTTACAAAATGACACATCACAAGTGAAAAATAAACAACAAGAAATTCCCCTCAGATTATTTGTTAAGAATTTTAAAGGTACATGCAGCAAAATATAACAGGTTAAAAGACACGAGGAGGTAAAAGGTATGATAAAATAAATAAGGATTTTTCTCCGACAGATAAGACACAAGACAACTGAATCGATGCAACAATATAAAACCCCATAAGTGAACATATAGGTACAACAGAAATTACAATTAAAAGATAATAGTCATAAAAAAGGCCATCATTCTAATAAAGGTTCAACCATTAAAATATTTTTTAAAAACAAAGTAAAAATAAATATTGCTATTGAAACATATTAGATTAATAAAATAAGATTACATCCTTTAAGACCTATAGAATTTACCGGGTGATGCTGAAACTGAATTACTTTTATCTCATGCAAATAATCACTTATACGTTTATTTGATATTTGATTGACTTTTCTACATTCCCTCTAATGTTATATTACACTGAACAAAAATATAAATGCAACACTTTTGCTCCCATTTTTCATGAGATGAACTCAAAGATCTAAAACATTTTCTATATACACAAAATAACCATTTCTTTCAAATATTGTTCACAAATCTGAAAAAATCTGTGATAGTGAGCACTTCTCCTTTGCCGAGATAATCCATCCCACCTCACAGGTGTGGCATATCAAGATGCTGATTAGACAGCATGATTATTGCACAGGTGTGCCTTAGGCTGGCCACAATAAAAGGCCACTCTAAAATGTTCAGTTTTATTACACAGCACAATGCCACAGATGTCGCAAGTTTTGAGGGAGCGTGCAATTGGCATGCTGACAGCAGGAATGTCCACCAGAGCTGTTGCCCGTGAATTGAATGTTCATTTCTCTACCATAAGCCGTCTCCAAAGGCGTTTCAGAGAATTTGGCAGTACATCCAACCGGCCTCACAACCGCAGACCACGTGTAACC